TCGCGCACCTGTATCATACACGTAGCGAATGCACGCGCACACACGCAGCTCCACACGCGACACCCTCTCTTGCGCCGCTCTGCGCAGCACTCCCACGTGGCGAGCCGCCGTATACACAGCACCACACGCGTTCACACTTCTCAGCGAGATCACACGAGGCCACGATCAGCTATTAATGATTTATTCTCGGATACCTGAGAATTATTGCTAAATCAGTATGAATCGACGAGGCTGGCCTATTCTGCTACCCCTGGACCTATTCCCTATTTATCGGCTTATGATACTATTTCACCTTCTTACTCACGGTTCGAAGTATTCGGTGTCCCGTGGATTTTCCTCGCTGCTCGTCTGGACACGTTGCACGGACGTCCAGAGGGCAGAGCTGGGAGCCGTCTTTGCCGCTGGTTTCTTGGAGTGAGAGAGCGTTCACCTCTCTCCCTCCTGCTTTTATACCCAAAACTACAAATAAATTCCCACTCGCCCGCCTTTCTAGCCAATCGGGTCGTCGCGTTCCCAGCTTTATTCTTGAATAATCCTAACAATGGGCGCATACGCGCTTGAGCCCGTTTTGTCATGCCAATTATGCCGCGGCATCCATCACAAAGGCTTGCCGTGGGAAGTTATGCACGGAGCTTCCGCGTGCCTCCGCCCCTCTGATTATTCATAATTCCAGCTTTACCCTTTAATTTCCCTAATAATGGCGCCTACACGCTCGAGCCCCTTTTGTCCTGCCAATTATGCCGTCTCGCTCCTCCCCTGCCTGTCTCGTCGATAAATGTGCATGTGTGGGGGGTGCGTTTCAACCGCGGTGGCCGAGTGGCCCCTTGCCGTGACCATGCAATCTTAATGCCGGTCACAGCGCCGCGGTGCGAAGTAGCACCGGGGGAGGTCGTCCAATTCCCTGGTCGCCGGGAACCGTGAAGGTTAATCCCGATAAGGGTTTCTCGGATTAAAACCGGTCGGCCAGGTGACTTCCCCTCAGAGTTCTATGGGGGGGGGGGGGGGAATGCGTGCGGGTGTGTTTATGTGAGGTGAGGTGAGGGGGACGCGGGGTCGGCTCCGGCACTCGGTGGTGGCGAGGTCGGGGATGGGGCGCCCGCCGAGCGGCTTCGTGGCGGCGGCATCACAGTGACTCGAGAGATTGTTGATCAATTGATTATTCCGATTATTGCTAAAGTATTCTTGGTTCTTTCGGTAAAGTCACGTAAAAAAAATAAACAAAGAACCACGACGTTTCGATCGCAACACAAGCGGTCTTCGTGAGGCAGAGAGAAAAGAGGGGGCAAGCCTCCAAATGCAACTACTTAAAAGGGCTTTCAGAGTGAGAAAACCTGTGCGGCGTAAACAGCATGGGCGGGGCAGCCAGCGCCAATGTCGGAGCAAAGCACCACAAGTACAGTGGAACCTCGGTATACGACCGCTTTGGAATAAGTCGAATTTGGTATACGTCGTGTTTTTTAGAGAAAAAAAATGTCTTCGGATACGACGTCTTGCTTGGGATACGATGCGTTTGCTAGAACTTGTATGGATCGGGATGAGTCACCGCGTACAGTACCCGCGCATGCCCGTTCACGACTGAAACAAAGCGAGAGGGGTGGGTGGCGTGGGGGAGAGGGGCGGGGGACGTGGGGGAGAGGGGCGGGGGACGTGGGGGGCTGCCCCCATGGAGGGTGGAGCCCCGGGTCGAGGCGCGCGACGTGCGGGGTTGAGGCACGCCACGTGACCAGCGCAGCGGGCAGCAGCACGGTTACGTGGCTTCTGTATGCATTTTAGTAATTAGTGTCTAAATTATTTTATACAACCACCATTAATGTATAATATGCCTTATAAAATATAATTTATTTTCCTCTGGAACGGATTATTTCCTTTCCCTTTATTTCTTATGGGAAAAATTCGTTTGGTATACGTCATTTTCGGTATAAGTCCTACCTTCTGGAACGAATTAATGACGTATATCGAGGTGCCACTGTACAAGTAGCGCAAGTAAAGTGAGTGCATTAGAAAACGGGGGGAGGGAGGGGGCAGAGACAGGGGGAGAGAGAGAGAGAGGGGTAAAGATATAGGTGGAGCTGAAGGCGAGGGCGCAGTCCAAGTGTGTTAGACATTGGGGGGAGGAAGAGGGTAGAGATATGGGGCAGAGAGAGGGGTGGTAAAGATAGGGGGGAGAGAGGGGGGTAGAGATGGGGGGGGGGGGCATTGCACCTCGCTACACCCATTCACGCTGCTGACGGTAGAGGTTGACAAGAAAACACAAATCAAGTCATGACCCAAAGTGTTTGATGACATCTTTCCAATGATGGCTGAGTTTAAAACCGTCATCTCGGTTGAAATTGTGTCTATCTTTTTCTTTCTTATCTTTCTTCTTATATATAAAAGTCTCCACGCGCTCGCACTTGCGGGGGATTTGGCTCTCGGACGGTGGCCTTAACGTAGAAAAAAAATTGCCGGGCGGCACGCCCTAAACCCCGCGGTGGGAATAGGCTATTTCATTTTCACATCCCTAAACGTTAAAGTAGTTTAATTAACGCATTTGTGCCGTTTCTATTATTAATTATTTACTTTTGCGCGCCGTCGACCGTACCAAGTGACGCCAATTGTGTGGGGGGGGGCAGACCCTGCCAAGTGATGCGCCTTGGCTCCATCTCACAGGGACATTTTCTTTTACGCGTTTAAAACCAACACATACACACATAACGCTGCGGATATTTCTTCACAGTGTCACGTCCTATTCGCTCCCCTCCCCCCAACACGATGTGTCCAGTTTATACTACAGACTCCGTAGATCATATTTTTGTGCTTACATAGCATTATTCTTGCACGCCCGGGGGATTCTGAGGGGGGGGGGGTAGCGGCCCAGCCCCTAGCCTGGCAACGTGCCAACTCCGTCGCCTCGCCAATGGAGGCCAGGGCGGGGCTACGCATGGCACAAGGCCTCAGCATGGCTATGGTAAGTACAAAGTTCCTTGCTTCTTACGCTAACAACTCAAGTCCATTGTTTTCTATTGTTAAACACATTAGTTGACAAACATTACAATAATCATGTTTGTGTGCAGATAATTTATCACGTTCATTGCTTAATATTATGAAACAAATACGTTGCCAGATATTACTATATTTATCTTTGTGTGCACATTCCAACTCAGGTTCATTGTTTATCTTTCATTTACACTTATTTCAGCTTATTTATTAAATGCATTTCTATTGTTTCCATCGCTCACGTCACGCTATTTACTCATACGTAGTACAGCGATACTGATAGCTGTGCCATCATCGGGGATTGTTGTGCCCATCGATGTGTGTTAGTCCATGTGTGCGTCTTTGAGTCCATACGTTTATGCGTGTAGAGCCATGCGTGTCTTTGACTCCATGTGGGTGTCTGTCTTTTTCGAACGGACAACGCCCGATGTGTGTGTGTACGTCGAAGTGTTTGTGTGTGTGTGTCAGTCCAAGTGTGCGTGTCAGTCCATTTGTGTGCGTATCAGTCACTGTGTGTGTGTTAGTCCATGTGTGTGTGTTAGTCGATGTGTGTGCATGGCTACATCTGAGTTTGTAAGTCAATGTGCATTTGTGTGTCTGTGTGTCAGTCAATGTGTATGTGTGTGTCAGTCCATATGTGTGTGTGTCAGTCCATATGTGTGTGTGTAAGTCCACATGTGTGTGTAAGTCCATACATGTGTGTGTGTTACTGGATGTGTGTGTGTAAGTCAGTGCGTGTGTGCGAGTCGATATGTGTGTGTCAGTCTATGTATGTGTGTGTGAGTACATGTGTGTTTATGTCAATGTGTGTATGTGTCCACGTATGTCTGTGTGTGATTCCATGTGTGTGTGTCTGAGTCGCTGTATGTGTGTACGTCGATATATGTGTGTAACTCCATGTGTGTGTATCTCAAGTGCATGTCTATGTGTGTGTGAGTCCATGTGTGTGTCTGTAAGTCGATGTGTTTGTGTGTGTGTTAGAGTCAATATGTATGCGTGTGTGTCAGTCTATGTGCGTGTGTGTTAGTCGCTGTGTGTGCATGCCTCCATGTTAGTCAGTGTAAGTCCATTTATTTGCGTGTCTGTAGGTCCATGTGTGCGTCTTAGTCCATGTTTGTGCTTTATTTACCTGCTCAAGGCCTATGATACCATCAGTAGGCCTGGCCTCTGGGTTGTTCTTCGTGCTTTCCGAGTCCCTGACCCACTGCTCACCATCCTTAAGGACCTTCATGATGGTGAGCGGCCCCGCGTCAAACTACGTGGCCGTGAGTCACAGCCATTCCCTGTATACCTCGGGGTGTAACAGGGATGTCCTCTGGCACCTACTTTATTTTACATATATTTGGACCATGTAGTTCGTGGAGCCATCAATGGCTGTACCAGAAGAATTCCCATCTCGTACAGATACAATGGGAAGCTGATCAATGCCCGGGTGCGGTCAAGGGATGGCTCCCTATTGTTCAACCACGTTATGTATGCCGATGATCTGCTAATTGCTGCTCACTCGGAGGAGTTCGCGGTGCTGCTGCTGAACCTGGGGCTTGCCACAAAGAGGTGGGGCCTTATTCATATTCTTAGGTTTTTTCAGTAAAGTCACATAGGTAACTAAACACCTGCCTGGGTATTTTCTACCATCGGACACTCCACCCCCCACAACTCCCAATTGGTGATGGGGCAGTTGTGGAGATAGTGGAGAGTTTCCCATACCTTGCCAGTGTGCTAATGACCGGCTCCGGTTTAACAGCAGAGGTCTCACTCCGAATCAGTCGAGCCACATAATATTTTCATTGGTTGCATAAGACTGTGTGGAAACTACCTGATCTATCACTCCGCATGAAGCTTCAGGTCTTCTCGGCCACGGTCATTCCCTCCCTTCTCTCCCCTTGCAAAACTTGGACCCCCCTAATGGAACATGTTCGCCGGTTAGAAACATTTAGGCTGGCCTGCTAACAATCCATCCTGGGTTTAACCATATATGTGTGTGTGCGTCTAAGTCGATGTGTTTCTATGTGTGTGGGTCGATGTCTGCGTGTTAAGTCCATGTGTGTCTCTGCCTTTTTCGCCCGAGCAACGCCGGGTACTTACCGCTAGTAAATCATTCAACGTTAAAGATGTAATTCCTCCTTTCACCACACGGTGGCAGCACCATTCTAATGCCATCTGGCTCTGCATTCGTGCCGCAAACTCTTCTCAAATAATTTCTGCCATGGCGACTGCAAAAAAAAAGAGAAACGTTGACAGTGAGGGCCGTCGCTTTCATTACAATACTTCTTCACTGAAAATCGAGGCATCTGTGTTTGTCTAATTTGTAAAGAGACGGTTGCCTTGTTTAAATATTTCAACGTAAAGAGACACTACGAGACTAAACATGCTACAACATACGACAAGCTAACAGGGAGTGACCACGCTGAAAAAGTGAAGCAACTCCAGCTGCTCTGGCATCGCAACAGCGATTCTTCACGCGGGCCTGTGAGTCAAAGTGAAACATCACAAAAGCCAGCTACGAAGTGGCCATGTTAATAGCTAAGCATGGCAAACCTTTTACTAAAGGTGCGTTTATCAAAGACTGTGTCATGAATATGGTGGAGAACATTGGCCCCGAGAAGAAGAAATACTTTATGAATGTTTGCCTGGCACGCAACACTGTGGCACGGAGAGTTGAGGACATATCGTCAGATATTCAGAGACAACTGGGGGACAGGGGAGTGGCTTTTGATTATTTCTCATTAGCCTGCGATGAAAGCACCAATGCATCTGACACTGCACAACTACTTACTTTTTTTAAAGAGGAGTTGATGACAACATGAACGTGACAGAGGAGCTGCTTGACCTCAAAAGCCTTAAAGGGCAAACCAGAGGAACAGATTTATTAGTTTCTGTTTGTGAAGCTGTTGATGATATGAAACTACCATGGAGTAAAGTTTCTGGGATCATTACCGATGGTGCGCCTGCTGGTGAGCGAAGTGGATTGTCCACACTGATCTGCAATAAAGTCAGCGAAGAAGCAGGTAACGCTATTAAACTTCACTGTATCATTCACCAGCAGGCTCTCTGCGCCAAACATCTCAAATTTGACGATATTATGAAACCTGTGGCAAAGGCAATCAATTCTATTCGCTGTTAAGCTCTATACCACCGACAGTTTCAGCAGTTCTTCCGTGACATCCAGGCTAAGTCGGGGGTCCGCACTGCAGCGATTTTTCTCTCTCAAAGAGAGAAATTGGACATTTTTTGGGTGAGAAGGGACAACTAATGGAAGAACTGTCCGATCCTGTATGGCTGGAAAATCTGGCATTTTTGGTTGACATAACGAAGCATCTGAATGCGCTGAATGGTAATCTTCAAGGAAAAGATGCAGTTGTGAGCCAGCTATACGCTCACATTAAGGCCTTTGGAACCAAACTGCAACTTTTCCAAAGACACTTGTCCCAAACAGAGCCCTGCACCGTGCACTTCCCAGCTTTGAAAGATGTCATTGACAGTTTCCCACAGGACAACATCGGTGCGCAAATGAAGAGTTATGCAACAGCTATCGCATCTCTTTCTGTGGAATTTAACAAGCGCTTTCGGGACTTTGCAGTTATTGAAAAGGACATGTTGCTTTTCTCTCCTCCCTTCTTCGTGGACCCTGATGATGCTCCTCCACAGCTGCAGCTGGAGCTCATTGAGCTGCAGTGTGACGATGAGTGCCGCGGAAAACACTACCAGTGTTCTCTTGTTGACTTTTACCGGCAGCTGGACAAAAGCATGTTTCCAGAAATGCGGTCATTCGCTAAGAAAATGCTGAGCTTATTTGGCTCCACATATTTGTGTGAGCAAACATTCTCAGTCATGAACTTAAACAACAACCGATTGAGGTCAAGGATGAGTGACTCCCACTTGCGTGACATTTTACACATCTCAACCACTGCCCTCAAGCCAGACCTGGTCTCTTTACTGAAATCTAGATCTCAGTATCACCCTTTTCATTAATGTCAGCAAGTTATCTGTTCCTTGATCAATCTTAAATTGAGTGTTTTGAACGGTAACATCTGTCACTATTAACAGTAAAAAGCCATAAGCACACTAATGCTCTTGGACTTATGGCACTTGTTTTTATTAAACTCTTGAATAAGATTTGGTTATAACTGTTGATGTTATGTACCTGTAGATGTGACACAAACTATTGCTTTCTGAAAGATTTTGTAAAAGACAAGGGCAAAATTCACTTGTTTTAAAGTTTAATGATAACAGACCACTTTGCATTACTTATAACTCCTGTTTAAAATGTTCATGAGACAAAGATATTTAACTCATGGAAATTTAAGGTATTCTATACAGTTTGTTCAATGTTATCTGACTGAATGAAAGGCAGAATTGTGTTTTTAGAGTTGTTCACGTCTGCCTGAGTAGCTTATATTTGGTTACATTGTCATTTGAAAAATAAAGGTAATTGTGACAATGAAAATAGTTTTCTAACAGTGTGTATTTTCACGTAACTTTTGTGGTTAAAAAAAGGTCAGAAGGAACTATTGGCCCCTGGGCATCTTCACGTTATTAAATTCGGCCCTCTTTGCAAAAAGTTTGGACACCCCTGCGCTAGTGCCACTATATTGCAGATGTACACGCTGCAGCATGCCCTGCCAAACTCATTAATCAAGCTGACATTGGCATATTTTTATGTGCCTACGTAAGATGGTAATGTGGGGGGTGCGAATGAACACCTATATAAGTGAAACGCGAAATTTTAGTTGTGTTCTTCTATCCCTGGCTGTGCATCCATGCATCCAACAACTGGCACCTGATACGGTGAGTTCTCATTTCATCCACATTGTAAAGCTTCAGGTTTTGGGAGCTATATTCTCTAAAATGCTTAAATGGAGAATCTCCAAAAATCCCAAACAAAGTTCATCTAAAGCAGTGGTTCCATCCGGCATGGTGTGGGCTTGTTTGCGGTCTTACGCTCCACAAGGAGTGAAGAGGAGTGTGTAAGTAAATCAGCGGTTCTTAAACTTTGCTCGTTTTAAATAAATCCATAGGTTTGAAAGAAAGTAGTTGTACTTACGTGCCTGTGCTTAAATTGTGTTTTCGATTATTTGCCTTCTAAAAAATAGTCTGTCGTCTCGCACCCCGAGAAAGGGCATCATGCACCCCCAGGGGGTGCGTGCACCCCAAGTTAAGAACCACTGATCTAAAGGGGTCTAAAGGGCTTGCGCATGGGCTGAGCAAAGTTCCAGAGGTTGTAAAGCTGAGTTGACCTGGGAATAGGCTAAGAGGTGATCTACTGTTGCTGACACTACACCACTGTAGTGGGTTAAACGGTAACGGGGCCTATAACGACTGTACTGAGATCTACTGTCACTAACAATACTGGAATCTACTGTCCCCGACACTAACACTCTCACGTTCACAATACGAACATTTGCACTTATTTGTTAACCATCCGACAATTGCGGCAAACAAGCATGACGATTGGCTGTGACTAGCACTTGCCCCAAGTGTTCAGGCAATACGAGGAATATTTGTATTTTTGCTGGTTTAACCAGGCTGGATTGTGTGAGTAGCTCAAAGCCTTGAAAGATCTGGACACGTACCCGTCAGTGAGCTCCTCCAGTAGACAAGGCTGCATTGGCTGGGTAATGTAGCCTACATGCCCAGCCACTACATTCCCAAGCAGCTTCTGTTTAGTCAGATAGAAGGGGCTAAACGGGCACGACACTCGCTGGAGAAGAGATGGGGCTGATGCAGTACGGGAGGATGTAGAGCTAAGTGGACTTGCTGAACACCGGTACAAGCGGTGTCAAGATCGGTCTCTGTGAAGGATGCTCGTGAAGGACGCTACTAGACAGTTGGAGGCACTCGCCCTCCCAACAATGGCTAATGAAAAATTTGGAGCTGTTGTGAGCTCACCTGTAATTTAATTGCACACAATTGTGCACACTGATAATAGCTACGGGAAGCCAGGTGCGGTTTAATTATTATGTGATTGCAATGGTGATATGCGATTGGATTCCGAGCCCAAAGTGAACAGAGTACGAGGCATGCCCTCAATTTAGATTTGGGCGGACTTGATATACTGGGGAGCTGCACGTTACATTAGCTGACATATATAACTGTTAAATGAATTTTTACTTGAATGGCAATCGACTGAAAGCAACTCGGTAATGTTAATTGACTGAGTTGTTGGTGATAATGAAAATATGCACAATTAAGACGTGTGACTTGGGTGTTTCTAATCGTTATTGCTGGTTCACTTACTATTACTGCACATTTTTATTGAACTTGTCCTGTTGTCTATATTCCTTCAAATCTTTGACTCTTAATATCTTAGGATCTACGACAATTCAAGATTTCACTTTAAAAACCCGGTCCGGGTCCTGCCGATCCTGGGCTGTTGGAGTTTTTTACTGAATTTTAATCATTAATACTCACATTCTGCCCCCACCCCCCATTTCAAAGCACAAATGTTCACGCACAGCTACTAGGGAAACGTCTTAATCAATCAGTGACTGTTGGTTGAAGTGCGTCACGTGACCACGAGCTTTATGTCATGCACGAATGCGCTGTCCAACCAAGTTCCTACCTGCCCACTCCAAAGGAACGTGTTTGCTAAAATAATGCCATAGCTATAATAGTAATACATCGTATTAACATTTGCTTTATCACGCCCGTTCCGACGCACTGAGGGGACTAGGATGCACTCGAGGTGGGTAGATGTTAAATGTTAAAATGTTTATTGTTTAATGTTTGTTCAAATGTTGTTAGATATGATAAGCAGCTGTTATAATTTTGATTTGGGCGGACTTGGTGCTGAGATTACGCTGCGGTGTTGTGACCTGGAGGGTGTTTCTGATCGCTATTGCAGATATGCAATTTCCCTTCTGAAGAATACTTTGAAATAAAGTTTTGGCATTTCACAAACCCCCTGGTGCTCCACTGTGGAGTCACCCACTTCTCCTGAGGATGGATCACAACGCAGAGTCCCTACTCATCGTCTCAGAAGTTTTATTATTCTGAGTGCTATTGCAAGTGTAATGCGAGCATGAAAGAGGTTGCTGCTGGACTCTAGCCCAATCACACGACCCGGGGTATTGGAGGTGGAGCCAGCAGGGCAGTGGGAGAAGAGCGGATCTGACGATCCGGAGGGGAGGAGTCAGGGTCACGTGAGAGAGAGGTTATAGAGGGGAGCCCGGAAGAGATCAGGGCCAGTCGATGGAGTGAAGAGGCGGGACCACGTTGGGTGGCCGCCGCACCATCAGCCACGTGGCTGATGGGGGCTTGGCGCACCGTCGGCCAGGGTGTGCGGAGCGAGAGAAGAGTGTGCGGGGCACACGGAGCTAGCGGGGTGGCTAGCGGAGCGTGCAGGGTGCACGGGGCTAGCGGAGTGGCTAGCGGAGCGTGCGGGGTGCACGGAGCTAGCGGAGTGGTTAGCGGAGCGTGCGGGGTGCACGGAGCAGCGGTGTGGCTGCAGAGCGTGCGGGGTGCACGGGGCTAGCGGAGGGGCTAGCAGGCCGTGCGTGGCACGGGGGAGGAGATGCTGGTCCGTGTCAGGACCAGCGGGGTGAAGGACGAGTGGAGGAGCTGAGGAGGAAGGGAGTGCGCGGGGTGCGTGAGAGACGATGCTGGTCCGAGGAGGAGGCCAGCGGGGTGCGAGGACAAGAACCCAAATAAAGGACGAATGGAGACTTACATCGCCTGCAGAGTCCTTTATTACACAAGGATTCACAATGGGAAGAGAGGGTACAGGGTGGACCGGCTATAGTGGCATAATAGGGGGGCACAGCTGGTGCATCTGCCAGTCATCTCAGTCAAACCATGGCACCTAAGTCTGCCCTGTGACCTGTTGGCGAGTCTTCGACACTCATGTGCACTTAAAGTGAACCTGGCCTGGCACAGGCGTTGTGGTGACGTCACCGTCACTTAGTGGCGAATGGCGCGCATACCCGTGTATGCAATTGTGAGTACTCATTCTGCCCCTTCCGACAAGCAATTAGGACTCAAGGAAAGTAAAAATATTAGATTTTTTTTCCAAACGGAACTCGTTCATAAGCCGAGGACAGCTCGAATTGAGTACCGTATTTTGCATTTGGTAGTGTGGCGCTTTTGGTTCTAGCCTACTTCAAGGCTCAACTTTATTGCCCCCACTATTATATTTTTGGTCAGCCAAGTCGCTCTCGTGTATAGTGTGGGTCGAGTCTAATGAGTAATGGATATCAAAACTAAGGCAATTTCAGAGGGTTGGTTCATCTTCAATTTGTAGACAAGCTCCCTCTGCCTGCTTTCACACCATAGCGTATATCTGCACCACACGGTAAGCTTACACGATACCCCAGGACGACCCCTTTGTCCCCACACTCACACCTGAGGCTACACGTTCCCGAACACACACCCTTAAGGCACGTTTATCCTTAGCTGGCATTTACCACCCACTTTTGGGCTACATTCACAAGAAAGCAAATTTCGAGGTGACGCTCGACATCGCTAACCAAGAGAGCCGGCGCCTGCTGGCTCCTCTCCACATGATAATCTTTCTATGATCCACCAATCCTGCTTTGAAATTTCTGGATTACAGGTATGTGCCACCGCGCCAGGAAATATTCTATCTCAGAATGACCACTTTTCCTCGTTTATTTCAGCAACAATGGAAGGTCAAGAGGTGGAAAAGTGGCAGAAACAAGACTACACCACAGACTTCAACCCACGCCTTTACCTGGATATGTACTACAGCACACCACCAGATGACTTGGCAGAAGGAGACACCTTACCACATGTCTTGCAGTTCCTACACTCAACGTTCAGCAAAGGTTCAAGTTCAAGTTAATTTATTACGTATAGCCCTGTGAGCCATTCGGCTCTTGAATCGGGTGCAACCGCAACACCCGATTCGTTTATGAGTTACATTCACTAACACAGCCACCATTAGCTGTGTTAGTAAATGGCGGCTTGCCATTCTTTTCCACCTCCATGTGGCGATGGCTCTTTTCTAGCTCTCTCCAAGCTTACATTTACAAGCATCTCTAAACCATTGTAAACAGCTCTTTGATTGGGGTAGACCTACTGCCGGGGATGTAGACTTCTCCTACATTAACATTAGCTGCCCCTACCATCTCTAAACCGTTGTAAACAGCCTGCCTCAGCAGCTTTTCCCCTTTTTTTCACCTGATGACGATTGCTTGTGTTGCGATCGAAACGTCGTGATATTGTTATTATTTTCATTATTTTTCTATTTACGTGGTTTTACCAAAAGACCCAAAGAATATGAATTCCTGCAGTCACGAAAGCTTTAAGTCAAGAATATATAAAGATGTTGATTCTGATATGATAACGGGCTTTATTTTTTAAATTGTATTAACCAACGTGAATGATTGTAATATAATTTACCCATACGGTAATTGACTTTACAGAGCTACTTCTGAGCTCACTTCAATGGCCCCTCGTGCAATGATGGCGAGTCCGCCGTTTTCATTTTTTCCAGGTGGGTTGTCGGGCCAGCGCCTCCTAGACATTGGTTCAGGCCCCACCATCTACCAGGTGCTGAGTGCGTGTGAGAGATTTTCCGAGATCTACCTCTCCGAATTCGTGAAGGGCAACCGAGAAGAGCTCCAAAGCTGGCTCAACCGCTCCCCCGGTGCCTTCGACTGGACAAGCATCATCCAGTTTGTGTGCCGCCTCGAGGGACACAGTCGGTAAATTCACTTTTGTTTCATCGATACTCATTGGCAGAGTGCGACCGATTGCCAGATTTTTGGGTCCGATACCAATTTTGGAGAATCCTAATCCATCGATTGCCAATATATCGACCTATATTTGGTTAACAAATAAAAAAAATTCTAATCAATTTGAAAAACTTACTTTTTATTAAACTTTAAATATTTGAGAATATTTTACTTAAATTATACTATGAACGAGCAAACAAATACGTAAAAATACACATCAATAATTATGTCATAGATTGAGCATAAACATTAGTTTAAAAAAAACACTTGCCAATTGAAATTAAGCCATTTTGGCAGTCTGGCAGTGCTCAAACATCAGAGTTCAGCGTTCTAGTTCTGCCACTTAAGCAGAAGCGGATTGTAGTGAAGAAAACACAGCTTCTCTGCAGTTTCACCACTTGAAGGAGCGTGATTCTATTGTCATCATAAACATATTAAAGCTCCCTTGACCGTATATTTTAGCAAATACCAAGTACAACTGCCAAACATACATTTAGAGGATCTAGAATCTATTTTTTTTGGTTTATTAATCATGTATAAAAAAGTTATCTTTTCGCACTGCATGTAGCCAACTGTGAGAATCGGAGCAAAACTTCAATACTGCTCTAAAACTGTTATTTTCCCATATTTTTACATCAGACTAGCATAAGTAGCGTTGCCCGGGTGAAAAATATATTTCTTAATAACCTGACATATATACACAGATGGGCTGCTACCCCTGCCCCCCCCCCCCCCAGCCACGATCTCCTCGGCCGCTGTGCAGTAATATGTACGGCCTATAGTGTGGTGGGGTGTCGAGGCCTAGTACCGTGCAGAGCCTCCGGCCTCGTCTAAATTGCCCACCCGGCTGAGGCTGGGTACCGGGGCCATTACCCCCCCCCCCCCCCCCCCCACGCTACAATAATACTGTCTAATCGCTATAATTTAATTATCTACCGACCCTATAATAGTAATTGCACACATTGGGGTGGCGGGGGAGTGAAGAGGACGTGAAACTTTGATGAATTTACCTCAGAGTCGCGTGGTGGGTGTCGAGGCCTAGTACCGTGCAGAGCCTCCGGCCTCGCCTAAATTGCCCACCCGGCTGAGGCTGGGTACGGGTGCCGTTCCCCCCCCCCCTCCCCCCGCGCTACAATAATACTGTCTAATCGCTATAATTTTATAATCTACCGACCCTATAATAGTAATTGCACACATTGTGGTGGGGGGGAGTGAAGAGAACGTGAAACGTTGATGAATTTACCTCAGAGTTGCGTGTTAATGCGTGCGCATATTTTAAACGGGAATTAAAAATGGCGTCCACCCCGCAGCGAATGCGTCGCTACCCGTTGCCAGGGGCAACCGCCGGACCAATCGTGTCTCGCAAATCCCTCACATTTCGTCCAATGAAACTGCGTATGGTCCGGCGCCACAGACACACACACAGACAGACAGACAGATTTGCGATTTTATATATATAGATTGTTAGGGTTTCTCATCCTACACACGTTATTTTACTTTATCTGATGTTCTCAACACCTATCAATTTTTTTTCTTACTCAAGGTCACTGACTAAATTTTCCCTTGCTCCATTTCTCCTCTTTTTCCACACCGACTTAATTTTTTATCAGGCCTAGCTCTTCCACCTTTCTCCTCATTGGTCTTCCCTGCACCTCTGACTAGCACGGTTAGCAACGACAGTGCGATATAACTTCTTCATACATACATACCCTTGTCCCCTCCAAATGATATATTGCAAAGCAACCTGGCCCTTTCCACATCTAGTTCCTTACATCATACATTATAATACACTCTATTCCAACAATCATATGAACAGATTTATATAAAAATCAGGGACAAAATAAGCGGGATAAAGATTGCATGCCAAAGTGATACCGAAAAGCAGCATTCTGGACTATTCTGGCTGAAAATGAATACACATAGCTCCAGCAAAGCAAGCTGGGTATAACAAGGTTGTGCTTGTGTGTATGCAGCAACCTTGAGAAGGCAGAGCATCTGCGCTCCACCGTGCAGGCTGTCCTGCCTTGCGATATCCTCCAGAACGATCCCCTGCTCGGGTGAGTTCTTACAAAATCAGCACTTCATGCAAGAACATAAAAGCAGTCTAGCAGACTCATTATTTATTGAGATTATTTTGTTGCTTTAAATTTCCACGTAATAAGCATCTTTGTTCAGCTTTTATTTGTGGTCAGGTCGCTTCTGAAAATTGTTTGCTTCTAAACTTTTTCAATGCACACACCTTTATTTGCACTCAAGTAGAACATTTATTATTTTCACCATCCACAACCAGCAGGTCTTAGGAAGGCCTTCATCCAGCAGTGGATTGACAAAATGTCTCTATGCTCCTCCGGGCGTTTTATGGTGCTCGTCTCCACCACATTCACATGGCAGGGACCATCTTTAACAACCACTGACGACTTCACACAAAATGGTACCTATTTTATAACACCTGTAGAGATGATAATTATGCTCTTTGTTTTTTGCGGTAAAGTCACGTAGGTAAAATAAATAAATTAATTAAATCACGACGTTTCGGGCGCAACACAAGCGTCCTTCTTCAGGAGGGGACAACTCAGCGAAAGCACACTGCTTAAGTGACTTAACCGAAAAAAACAAAGAGTATGAATCTTTGCAGTCACGAAAACTTCAAATCTTGAAAGAATGACAATTATGACTTGCCTATGTGAACCCTTGACCCTACAATAAATGAAAGCATGCGCATTGATATACAACATTCTACGTTATGAATAATGACTATTACAATTAGAATAACGATCACCCGATTACCAAGTAGCAAAATTACATTTAGAAAAACACGATACGTATAACGCGTTTAATGGTCGTATTTGCGATCATTTAAGTACTATATGAAAGATGGCAAGACACACCGACTGTAATGGTATAATAATGCTCGCATAGGCACAACGGTGCATATCGTGACACAGTGTTCAAAATGCACAGATTTAGAACTTTAATTTATACCATTTATATCGACAATCATGAGAACATTTTGGCGATCAAAATAGGGATAGTATTATGGAATTTAATTGTAAATCATGATCACGGTTCTCACCTGCTCGCTCAACTTGTGCATAACCATGTTGTGCTGAGCTCGTCGGAACGGGATGACAACGCAAACAAGAAAGCTATTAATTAAAATTATAACTATGTCATTATTTTAACAATAGCAATAGTAGTAATTATTACTTTAAATGTTGGTCTAGCACTAAGAGGGAACCAAAGGGCCACTCCTGCGCCATGACGAGCAGCGATATAAATCCGCCTTTCATTGGACATCGGCTTACGAAACAGCCGCTGTGATTGAACAAGACATTTCCCTGTGTAGCTGGGCTCGACCATTCGTGATTTTACACGTGAGGGGAGGGGGCAGAATGTAGGAATATTATATATTAAAATTAACTCAAAAACACGTAGGCGCAGGGTTGACGGGACATCCTTTGCCGTCCCCCTTCCACAGAAAATTACCCTCTGGGGCAACCGGACGCTGAAACGTGGGAAAGAGAAATAGCATGGCCCACCTGGAAAAAGCAGGTATAGAGAGTTGAAGATCTCTTGGATAAGGAGGGTCATGTGTAAACCAAATTTAAAATCTCACGTCTCCATTTCTTTAGATATCTACAGACCAGAGACACCATAACAAAATCCCATGACCAAAAATCTGGAAGGACCCCGCCCCCCAAACCTTATCACTGGCTGGAAGATCTAAGATCGAAATATACACTCTCAGAGGCTTACCACTTGCTGGGCAGGGTGTGAGTGTTGCTAATCTTTTTACTGGTAGGAACCTCCTGGTTACACCAGCCCACAGGGGATTATTGTGTCCGTCTGTCGTGCATTCAAAAATGGGAGGGGTGGGGCTGGGTGGAGAGGGGAGGGGCTGGGTGGGGAGAGTGGGGAGGGGTGGGGAGGGGAGGGGAGGGTGAGGAGGGGCTGGGTGGGACTGGGTGGGACTGGGTGGGAGGGTGGGGCTGGGTGGGGAGGGGCTGGTCACCCCGTGGTGCCCTTATAAAACTCAACGTTTAACCTACTCACGCCGGCTTGTGCCCGCCCTCACACTCGGCCATATTTGCGGAATACACCACGCCACCGTTGACCCTGCAGGCCATTGACCGAGCAACCCAACGTTCCTACCAGCTCCCTCCGCAGGAATGTTTTTTTTTTTTATTAGAGAGGGGAGTTCATGTTTATTTTCTCTCCCATGCAATTCCCTCAATATTTTTCATAGGGCACCAATGCGGATTTTTAAACGTGCTTTATTGGCGACAGAAAGGACAATAACTTGATCCAGAAAACAATCTTAACAAGATTTGGAATTTTTAACTATGAGTTGATTCATTATGCACTATTGAAACACTATGCAGGAGGATGTGAACCAACTGTGGTGGATAATAATTAATTTAAAACCAAATACAACCAATTCTTCAAAACTCTCGACAACAGTAACAGCACACATTTGAATTACCCTGTAGTTCACCAGCTTAACAAAGTGCCCCCGCATTTTGACAATCACAAAACACTGCGGCGACAAAACAGATAGAGAACACCGCAACGACCATTCATGCCAACCATTACACAAGCTCCACTCCCGGATGATGAGGCAAAGCAGCAGAAGCCCCAGGGTATGGAATGGCAGTCTCAGGATTTGATTGGCGCTATCAACAGCGCTCTGAGTGACTCAATTCAGTGGCAGTCCCGGCTTGCACTCACAACAGCACTCGCAGTGACTCCGTGCACCAGCAGCCCTGGGCACCGGCGCAACGACAACTGCAGCAGCACCCATAATGACCCATCGCAAACAGTCACGGTCACTGGGTTGCCGTGTGACAGCAGCTTCTCGCAACAGCCAGGCCGCGGCGAACACTGACCGCCCCGGCCCCAGTGAATGCCCTGGTACACGGGTAACGCTCACTTCAATACACACATTTGGTCCTGCCCTCACAGCCTCTGTCAATCAACTTGGCTCATGCAGCACCTCCCCATTATTACATAAGCCCTGAATTTTTGTTGACCTCACTTTCCACCAATCACACACCGCCTCGTCAACTAATCCTCTCACATCAGGTTAACTGGCCTGCCCTGACTGGCCAACTCATGTCTCACCCCCGGACCAGACAAGACTCTGGCGCCTCGGCTTCCGGAGATGAAGGGGGGTTTGGGGGATTTTCCACCCCCATAACCGGCCACCCCAACTGACCCCAGGGCGACGGCATTTGTCCACACCGTTACACAGGGAAGGTACTGGAACCAGATCAGCAACCAGGAAGCTTTGGAACAGAAGCGTTCCCCAAGAGATCCCACTGCAGAAATGGTGCCAAATCTGGCAAGCTCTGACATCCGGCCCAATGCATGGCACATACATGACAAACGAAAAAAGGGAAAAATTAATGACGACCCCTCCTGGCTGTCCAAGATGCACGCTAGGCACAACCCAAACCTACTTGGATGTGTTCTGGTCATGCCCGTTCATCGAAAAAACATACCCGAAGGTCTTGGCCGCCTTTTAATGATGTATGCAGCACCAATCTCTCTCCCATCAATTGAAACTGCCCTGGTGGGGCTAAAAACCGGGTACCCTTTCAAAACATCAATACGCCATACTCCAAACTTTCAACATCATAGCCAAGAAAAGCATATTGCCTAACTGGAAAGACCATGAACCCAATTCATGTGGACAATGGTGCAACGCTCTGCTTGCCAACGCGTGCCTACCGAACACCTGTCCCACAAACTTAAAGGGGAAACAAATGGAATTTGATATCAGGTGGTCTCCCTACAGAGTTTAAATTTAGAGGAATTGTGGAGAGAGGTGGGATAATGGAGTGGGCAAGGGAGGAAGGGAGGGGCAGAATCCCCCTCCCCCTTGTCAGCTAAGGGGAGATGGACCCAGAATTGAGGAGAGGCTGTCACTCCCACACACAAAACTGCGTGTATATTTTTATGATACAGTATATAGCATGTTCCTCTTACATCTCCCTTCCCACACCCGATATCCCTATAGAATACTGGTTACCTCTTCTCTTGCCCCTCTCTGCAGGTCATGGAACCAAGGCCCCTTTGACTGCATTCTCTCCATACTGTGCCTGGAGGTGGCATGTGTTTCGACGGATCAGTTCGTGGCCGCACTGGGACGCATGTGTAACCTGCTAAGGCCAGGCGGGTGGTTGGTTCTTGGCACAGACCTGGGCGAGACGTTCTACTACGTGGGCTCCAAGCGCTTCCATGTGCTGACCGTGGATCAGGCATGTGTCTTGCATGCAGTGGAAGCAGCAGGCCTTACTGTGCAGCACATGGAGACATATGTGCTGCCTGAGCCACCCCCTGGTGTCTATTTTGACCTTAAGGCCATGGTCTTCCTCAGAGCCCAGAAGATGTAATGGCCTGTGCTGGGATCTTTGATCATGGTGGCAGAGACACACACTTGTTATTTAGAATTGGGATTGGCAGACAAACACATATATCATCCGTATAGCCGTAACAAACTGTGGGGCAAGTGCTGTAAGCGAGGAACTTTGAAGGTCAGCCTGGCACACAAGGGGGTAAGTTGCCAACGCTACACCTGGCCACCTGTATTCACCTAATGACAGTGATGTAACTACATTATTAGCTCAGAGGGTGCTGCAATCGGTCAGGTGGGGCCCCAATAATGTTGTAGTGACATAGAATCGGTCACATAGCAGCATAGCGCTAGCTGCTGGCGGGGAAGGGGATCTGCAGCTTACAGCAGCCCTGACTGATAGCAGACCAGGTGATAGACCAGAGAAGGATCTAGGGGGAAGGTCACTGAAGGGCAAATCAAGAACCCGCTAGTAGGTTCCAGAAAGGGGGCGTGGCCGTGGGCGGAGCCAGGCCACACTGACGGTATTAAGAGGGGTCCCTGTAGGGGACCTCGGGGCTGTCGTGTGGAGTGGGATCCCATCGTGCTGCTGGAGTCTTCGCCGTCGTTTCCGTCTTCACCATTTCGGATTTCGGCGTCGCCAGTCAGGCAGTCTACCAGCTGTCCTGACTGGGATCCGTAGTTCATTTAGTGACGAGTTATAAAGTGTTAACTGTCAGGCTGTGTTAATAAACAGAGTGCCTCCTACTCTTAGTGTCTCCGAGTCTGTCACTATACTTTTGAAAACATATCTCATTGTGGTTTTCAAGGGGGCCCCCAACTTGTAGCTTTGGCCACCAGAGGGGGAAGGCATCCCCTGCCCCCATGCAAGTTACGCTACTGACGAGTGACAATGTATATTCATCGTACCAGGTACTCATCTCAGGCTGAATCGGCCCAGGGAGGAGGCCCAGGACTGGTTCAGATAAAACTGGAGTAACCGGGTTTGTGGTGCGGCGTGCCCACCACTACACTACCGCTCACGGACAGCAATTACTGGGATTGGCAGATAAGACACTTGCACACATATCATCTCGTGTGTAAAATACACATTTGCAAAGGTATTTTGATTACAGTAGAGGGCAGTTTTTGATCGAGACCAACATTGCAGAAATTGATTCCTCAACCCTGTGTTAGGTATTTGAGCTTCTTTTGTATGCATCCTTTTTAAGGGGTTTATCGGTGTACTCCAGTTGTGAGCTTTCATAAATTACTATCAGTATTCATGATTTTTCACATTGCATGGTTGTATTTTATAGAGGGGCACCACGATGACGTTATGTTAACTACCTCGCCTGGTATACAGGAGGTATATGTAGAGTTTTCATGTTCTCCCTCTGGTCGTGTGGATTTTTCTCTGGGTCTTCCTTTGTTTCTCTCATTTAGAAACATGCATTTCGAATATTTGGCTGATATAAATTTCCACATGATAAGCTACTTCGTTAAGCTATATCATGTTTGCCCAGGTAGTTTCTCAAAAATAACTATATGGCTCGGTGGGTCTTACCTAGTCAAATTAAAATTTTTATTGTATACAGGTGACCCCCGACTTATGACGGCATGACTTGCAACTCTTCCCCCCCCCGATTTTCTCTTATAGTTAGACCCCAACAGTAACGACCGAAACTCGTAACTACGACCCCCCAACGACTGCTACCGATCTATGTCATGCGCAGACTCGTCGCCAAATGGTGATGCTTTGCTTTCTGCCATATGGGTATGTACAGTATAGCCCGACAGTCTGCAGCTGTACTTAGAACGCAACTTTATTCGCAACACTCTTCACATTGCAAATTGTCTTCCAATTTGAGCCACCACACTTGGTATGCACTGCTGTTACCTGAGCGTTTAGTATATTTTTATAGGATTTTTAACGCGAAAGAAAATGTCCCCCTCACTCCCACCGAAGGCGTGCGACTTGGCATGGGCCGTCCCCCCCTCACCAAAGGCGTGTGAGTTGGTATGGTCGTGGACGTGTCATAAATAAATAAAGAAAAGGAAGCGCAAAAAATTGCACTAAATCGCTAATTAAACGAATTAAAAGTTGACGGATGTGAAAAAGGAATAGCGCTTGCTCACCGCGGGGCTTACCGCGTGGTACTTGGCTATTTATTATTTTACGTGAACCCCACCGTTGGAGAGGATAGCGCGCAACCACACACAAACCCCGCCACAAACAAACCCCGCCACAAACCCACACACAACTTTTGACTTTTATATATATAGAAGAAGAAGATAGATTTATATTACTGGAAAGTTCTAGAATGTTCTAGAAGTTACTCCAGTTTACTCAGCACTGAATCTATCTGTAATGTTCTGGGAAATAGCTACATTTCAAAATATCACTGTCCTGGTCACAAAAGCAAAGTTTGTGGGGAATAATAGCAATTTTCTGTACTTTTGAGGCATAAGCAATTAGGAAATAACGCTTACTACCCAGGAACAAAAAAAATGTTACACAGTTTCGATTTAAAGCTTTCGTGACTGCAGGAATTCATCTTCTTGGTTCTTTCGGTAAAGTCACGTAGAAGGGAAGTAATAAAATAATAAAAATAAAACATAATAAAATAATTCTCACGACGTTTCGGCCACAACGCAAGCAGCCGTCCTCAGGTGAAGAACATGTCTGTCGATAAGACAGAGTCTAAATGACACGTCTTAGGCTTGGAGTGTCTATTTAAGCTTAGAGTCGTGGCATAAGAAGGCTCAGTTAATCGAGTCTCTCACCTTTCTGAAGAGATGCCGCGACTCTAAGCTTAAATAGACACTCCAAGCCTAAGACGTGTCATTTAGACTCTGTCTTATCGACAGACATGTTCTTCACCTGAGGACGGCTGCTTGCGTTGTGGCCGAAACGTCGTGAGAATTATTTTATTATGTTTTATTTTTATTATTTTATTACTTCCCTTCTACATGACTTTACCGAAAGAACCAAGAAGATGTTACACAGTGTAATAATGTAACTAATATATATTAATAATTACAACACCCTTCAAATATTGTTGTTGGAAAATACAATCAAGTGGTAGTATTTTATAGTCTACTTGTACCTAAAGGCAGCTTTGAGTAGATAGAAGAAACATATATAAAAGCATGTCAAAGAAAAGAACCCTAACCCTTTAAAAAGGCTGTTAGAAAATAGCCATTCAGAGGGATTGTTGAACTCGTCTTTAAAAAGGCTGTTGTTTTAGAACATTATTTTAAAACATTATTTTAAAAGTCTCTGAATATATTACTGTGGTGTACCAAACAAGAGAACAGGCATCTGTCTGTGGCTTTTCCTACCAAGAAATGTCTTCTATACCTGCCTGACACAGAGATAATTATGTTGCTTGAAAAAAACAACTTTTTTTTAATTGGCTGAACAACCAACAAAGGTTTCTGACAAGTCAGTGAAATGACTTGGCCGAGACTCTGCACATAGGCCACACTCCATCGATGGAGAGGAGAAACAAATACCTCGTAAGAGCTGTCGACAGTTTGCATGCCAACGTTAGCAGTATCTACTTCCGTGGATCTAGAAACAGACGGTTTATGGAAAAAAATGAATGGGGGTTTCCTTAATCTTTAAGTATGGATTGGGTCTCTTATATATGGGTTAGTGTATGAAAAATATAGCTTTTGGCATATTTTTTTTTATGTTTTACAAAACCGCGGTGTATTTTTTATAATTGATTTGTCAACGGCTAACTAATCTCTCAACAAACGACGAGATCTTGGTCTCACTAGCTAGCTTTTTTTGCAGTTAATTTGGTTGTAAAGGTAGTTAGCTGGCAAAAATGACAACTAGCTAACTCATTTCTATCAACAAGCTAAATAATATGGGCAGCGAGCTAGGGAAAATGGCCAGCTTGCTAAAAAAATGGGATAGCTAGCTACGGTAAGTCAAATAATGAACGGCTTGCCATAATATGACACCCTTCAATCTGTCCTGTTATGCAGAATGAACTGACTTGTTGATAAATATTGTATCATGTCACAGTATATTGTAGCGTGCCAACCAGTGGCTCCGTTGTACAGAAGCACTGCACTCTCTGAGAGGCTCTCGTTTTAAGCATGCACTGTATGTACCAAGGGGCACCAGGTGTTACGCTCGATGTATGTGTAATATAGTAATTACGGCGGGAGACCACTTGACGGGTAGCACACTTTTATTAACATCTACTTAGCCACAATAACACGTGTAGCCGAGCTACAGCCTACGCTACGCGTTCCAACCCGGCTACACACACACGGGCTCTCCGGCCCCGTAGCTTCCAGGGGAACTCGCAGACCCACCCTAGCTGGGGTATGGGTCCCGACCACTGGGTCCCACAGCCCGGCGCTCACAAGGACGTCCGGCCGCGGGTCCCACGGTCTCGCCTCTGAGCCACACAGGGTCCCGGCCCTTACAAGGACAGCGGGGCTAGGGGTCTCAGGGCCCTATCTCTTCCTCCTCCGTCTGCTGTCTTCACTGGTTACCAACTCCTCGAGTGCTGCTGCACATCGCCCTATATAGCCCTCCGCTCCAGGGGGCGGGGCCTATGCGGACCGTGATGTGGACATCTGCCTGCGGACCGCGATGTAGCCATACCCGACGCGCTCTCACACGATCCCCCCCTGCCAGCACGTACCGCCACTACATCACCCCCCACCACATAGCTCGCAGCCGGCTCGGCTGCTACAAAAAACTCCCTCCCCGTGTGTGCCCCGTAACACCAACAATAACAACAACAACACAACAACATAACACAACACAACAAGAACTCCGCGAATCCCATAACAATCCGAACACGCAACCGCAACAACAACAATTATATGTACATACCGACGAGTGACAACAATAAACTATATACAAGAATGACCCGTACAGCGTCCCTTCATTACCGCTCGCCCCTTGAACGGGACATTAGAACGGACGGAAGGGGAACGCTGCGACGAGTTGACACGGCGGGACCCCCTCTCCACTCCCTTCAGGAAAAGTGTTGTGTCTTAGCACGAGTCCGCCTGGCCGGTCCGTCGTACGGCACCGGACGCGGTTGACCGTCAGGCAGCTCCGGCAGTCCAGGAAGGCACGGAGCAGGCTTCGGAGATCCGCGCGTGCCTTGGGGTTCCGGTTTCCGACGGTCAGCAGCCGTCAGGTCCGCGACACCTGGGAGCGGATCAGGCGGAGACACGTGAGGATCAGGCGGCGACATGTCCCTCCCTGAGTCGATGGCCACATCACATGCTCGGTCGTCACGACATAAAGGAAGGCCATGTGGCACTGCGAAAGGTTTCAGACGGGAGGGGTGAACGTACCAACGGCGTTTTTCCCACTTAATCTGAACGCACTGGGGTCGCGCAACACGCACGACTTCCACAGGTCCCCTCCATGGCCTCAGCAGTTTCGGGGACGTAGCCAACGGCGCATGTGGGCAGTGCAACCAGGCCCTATCGCCTGGTTTCCAATCGTGCGTATACACCTTCCGTGCACGCAATTTCTCGTTAGCGATCTGGCGAGACCTTGAATTCAACCTCGCAGCCTCCCGCGCCTCAGCCAGCTTAGCGATATTAAATTTGATGTGGTCGGCCAATTTAGAATTTGCACGTGGCTCGGAAATCCCCAGCTGGGCATCCATGGGCGGATCGGCCTCTCGACCATACATGAGAAAAAATGGGGAAAAGCCCGTCGCCGCGTGGGGGGCCATCCTATACGC